AATAATTGAGTTTAATACTATTTTATTACGTACTGTGAATTCATTATTATTGGTGGGGTACTAATTTTCGTGGATTTTGTGGATAGCACTATCCACGAATTAAAAGTCCCAACGAAATATGCTTAATTAGTGTTTTTATTGTTAGGCACTAACTGGCAAATCCACGAATTTAAGTACCCAAGAACTTGTCCATTTCCATCAATCCACAAAATTTGGAGCCCACGAAAATAAATGAATTCACAGTATATTTCCCATGGCCATGCACAATTTTTGGCCCCTAAATTAACTATTTACTTCATGTAAGTAATTACTATAATGCCCTTATCCAAATGATTAAACAAACCCCACAAATTATGACATCATGCTGAGTTATCACGCAGCGACCGCAATTTTTGAAATTGGGGGTAGGGGTAGCAAAATCGTCATAACACATTCCATATTTATAACTGAAGCCTAATTATCGGTGTGGAGTGCCTGACATGAATGAGGAACATATTGATATATTGTATGATGTGATAGCATCATCTCTTTTTGATTACCAGTGAAGTAAAAACGAAAATATGAACAAATTATTAAAATCGGGGCGCTATTTTGGGATTTCAATAATTATAAATCATTTCTGAATGTTCTTTAAACATATTTTTCTATTTGATTAGGTTAAGACATGTCTAACGTTGGTCTGGAATGCATGTGATGACGACCATCGCCACCTACAATTGATTTGAAACAAAAATTTATATTTGTCATATTTTTGCTATAAAATAGGGGGATGCATGTACAAAATTGGCCACAATTATTTTTCGCAAAGCTTCCGACAGAGCAGACCTCTCAATTGTCTCACCTTTATGTCCAAACCAATAGAAAAAACACATTTAAAAAGTATATCGGACCGTGTCAGGTCCAACCCTTTTTATTGAGCTTTTGGATGTCTGGATCCCCGACTATTCACACAACATATTATTGTGTACGTAGTAATAAGTTGTACGTACCAGAATGAGATGATATGCTGTACTTACCAGTATGATAATTTTAAATTAAATTTAAAGGTGACGCGTATGTACCTCCTAAGTTGTACCAATTTAACCAGATAGCTAAGCAAATGTACCACTGTAGGTAATATGCACGCCCTTACATGAGTAAATCAGCGTGGACAAGTGAATTAGTCAACAATTATAAAACGCGAGACTATATAGCTAGTGGCCTTGGGTGTCGCACTGATTTGAACTTATCCGTTTGTTTAGCAACTTAGTGATGCCATGAGTAACTCATTAATTAAACAGCAACGATGTTATGGTGTTATTTGTTCTTTTGTACGACAAACTTATACATGAAGTACTGTACTGTAGGTACAATGTCTGAAGACTAGATATTGTGCGTCCCTACATTTATTTTTTGACGGTGGACCTCTCGTATCCCCCTTGCGGGCGGGACGCCAAATTAGGTAATAATGAACAAGCCCCCTGTGGATTCATACATTTGTCATCACCAGGTTGTCCGTATAATAATACCATCTGACTTCTAAAACACGCTGTTGATAGAGAATTTGAACTGAAACTGTAATTTTCTTTCCAGTACACAAAAAAAGTCTTTGGGCCATCCTTAAAATTTGTTATGTTCTTCTTGTTAATTAAACATAAAAACAATCCTCAGAACACGGGAAATCGCTTCTGAGACGTTCTAGAAAACACTTTTTTTTGGGGGGGGGAGCCCCCACACACCCCTTAAAGGAAGGGGGAATACCCCCTCCCATACCCTCCCCCTCCTCGCTACGTGCTCGGGGTGCTGCCTACGGCACCACACCGTTGACTATTAAGAAAAATTTCTCGGCCCCCCCTTTTAGGAAATCCTGGATCCGCCCCTGATATCGACTCTGTATGTATGATTAACTCCGTAGAGGATTTCCTTTAGGTACATAATATATATACTGTGCAACGAGGTTCGCATTGCGATTCACATCGGACACACGTTAAGTTCCTGTAATGTGATTTACAGTGTCAAGAGATATAATCGGAACAATCTTCCTAGGTTTAAAACATAGCGATGATGTCACAGGTGTCCAATAAGATGCATACACTGTCCAATAAGTTATCCACATGTCTCATAAGTGAAGCCTATTGAACAGTTGTCGCATGATATTCTAGAGAATTGATGGGCGGAGCCAAGTGGGAGTAATTCAGCGATATAGCTAAAACAAAATTAACAAGCTCATAGATTGTTTTAGTATAATATTAAATCAACAATTAGAGTACTAGTTGTGTTATTTTGAGAATCCAACACATTCAAAATTCAACAGCTTGAGTACTGTATAGCTGTGTATACATTCTCGGAATCCACCACATTCAAAATCAACGGCGAGATTACTGTGCCGGTGGTGTATATAGAGACAAATTTTCCCTGGTTTTGGACCGATCATAGACTCAACTGGTGACGATGCCGTTGCATCGTAATCTTTGATTTTTAATGCCATTGAATCTTCAATAGCAGCATTGAATAATCTAAGATAATTTATCCTAACTTATATACGTCCTATTTCTTTTCTGACACATTATGATTTGTTTATTTCTTTTAACCAGTTTTCAAACACTCTGATGATCCACTTTGTATTGCAACACATTGCACTTTTCTGAAGATAAGGTATCTCCTTTTATAGATTATTCTGCAGTTCTTCTGTTAGTCTCATTGTCTATATATCCTGTCTACTTCTTGTGTAATTTTCTCTACATTCTTTTCAGATAGTCCTCAAAAAATGTTGCCTTTCATCTTCAATTTGGCCACTTATTTGCCTCTTTCATTTCAAACATGTCGCCCAAGACACCACCAATATAAACCTGTTTCTCAAGTGAATCCATACATTTTGATGGAGTTACAAAAGGGACCTCCTGAGCGTCAGAACACATTGTGCCATATGGACACACTCATGAGCTTTGCATGAGTGTGAGCATAGTTTCAACTTTACTGTCCAATACGTTAAATGGGTCCTTTGAACACCAATAGAGTATATTTGTTATCTGAATCAGCACTAGAGGCACTCAGGTCTAGAGGGCACTATGGTTTAAGTTAAATATAAGCCTCAAACTGTTCAATAAGTGAGAGAAAGAACAGTTGTCGGCCCTAACGGGTCTAGGCCAGTCCTTTCTCTCACTTGTTGGACAGTTGTCGGCTTATATACTTAACATATTAATGGGTTTTGTTTTTCGTATACATACTCGTCCCTGTTAGCATGATCATAACATTCATGGTTAGGGTGTTGCTATTAACCCATGGAAAACAACACCAATCTAGTACAATTAAATACACTGTTACACCCACAGTCAACGGCTAGAATTGACCAATGAAAAAGGACGTTAAAACACGTAAGAAACATACTAGTATTACTTTTAATAGACGTTGAACATGTTTTAAAGGTATCAATTAAAAAACCTGTTCAAACGTGAGTTTTACTATTCTTTTAGTTTTTAATGTGCATAAGTTAATTTCAGCGGAAAGTGTTTGACGATTCGTTAGGACAACTTGCATCCATGGTTTTCACTTTATAAGTATTTGAATATAAATCTATACACAAAGGCGTCTAAAACTGTTTTATTTGCTCACAGCAATATAATTTCTCTTGTAGGTCGGGGATCTAAAAAATCTAGAAAAGAATACACCCAATGCATGTATCGTAAGCGGCGACTAATGGGGACGTCCTGCAGAAATGGGGATTTGTTTTTACGCCCTCTATTCGTGGACACAAACGCAACCAATATAAATCTGCTGCACCAATTGCAAAAAACGGTAGTTGTTATTCCCTGCTTTACGTTCAACATAGCATTCAGAGTAATGGAAACAACTGGCTCACCTGTGTACTGTGCTGAGTGCCTTTGGCATGGCATTTCAGTGAAACAGCACTATAAAGTCGGCATCAGATCTGCGATTTCACAAGGAGGCAAATACGACATCATACCCTGTCTCCAGCACTTATACACCCTGTCTCCAGCACTTATACACATATGTACGCTTACACAACACACATGGGGGCACGTCCTTAAATGACCTTAGCTGTTGAAGGACGTTGAACAAAATAAAACCAAACCACAACCAAATCCCGTCAATATAAGTGTATTGCTAAGTCAAGGGTTTCAACCACGGATTTGCACATCAACATGTAGAATGGTCCAATACAGCTCATTTTTACTTTCAACGTTTTTGTTTAGCAATAACGTAGCGGACATATAGGAACTATAAATCCACTGGCTAATTAAACGACGCTTGTTTGAAAATATCGTCGGTGGTTTTTCTATGTGATAGACGCTTGATATATGTGCATAGGCGTTCGTCAATGAAAGGTCAACAGCTGTTTGGCTCACTATTACAACGGAGACACCAGCCCGTCCTTTTCACGTGCAAATATGTTTTATATTTCAAATAAAGTAAAACCTTCTTCTTTAATTAGTTTGATAATTCAAATTTGCTTTCGTGGAATATTTCATGTTGCATCCACGAGAATGCTTAAAGTAGCAAAATCATAACAGTGTGATGTCGGATGACCGGACATCTGTTTACTACTGTGCTCGTGAAGTGGAGATGGTGGGCGTAGTATCTTTACCGATACTATATATGTTTTATGACGTAGTCTGAAAATAATAAAATATATATGAATGAGTTGAGCGTATGTAGGGAGTAGTAGGCGATATCCGTCTGACGTAGTACAAACCTGTTGCACACCTTACACTTTATTTAACATCGATTTCATTGATTGAACCACTGTACTATACATTGCCCAGCCGTGACGCACGTCGGTAAGCAGTGTATGACATGGGAGCAAGGTGACAGGAACTGTACTTTCCACCCTGAATTTATCAACTTTATCGTCATATATTCCTCTGAGGAAAAAATAAGTCAAAATCTCGAGGATGACCGTGCTGTTGTTTTCGCGAAGCCACATGCACTGTGTTACACACTTAACGTATTTTTTCATTAATAAATGCGTGTTTAGAGTAAGATGTATTGTTTGATTGTCAGGAATGGTTTTTCACTGTGAGGAAATACGGCTTGCCCTGGGAAAATCGACCAAAATTCGACAGGATAGTTGCGATGACATTGGATGACAAAAGGATGAGAAGCGTTAGAAAATATGATAGATACCAATATTCAACAAAGGTTTTACAAGATCTCAATCGATCCTAATACCCTATGCTATCAAAACATCAATGACTTACCTAATGAACTCCTTGCTCGAATATTTTCGTTTCTTCATCCAATTAAAGATACACTTCCGGTTCTTGCACTAGTCTGTAGAAAATGGCGAGAGATTCTTTTGAACAATGGTTCACTCTGGCGCGTGGTACATGTTGATCCCCGCCATTATGTATATTGGCACTTCAGCATGATGTGTTGTATGTTTCGTCTGTATGGCAAACATATACAAAAGCTGACTTGGACCGACCACTCGCCAGTGTACGAAAGTGTGTTTTCATATGTTCCGCGTTTACGAAACCTGAAATATCTAAGACTGCCAATTCTGTGGACAAAATCCGTCGTGGAGACCCTGTCTTCTCTGACGCAACTAGAAAATATACAGATCAATGGGGGATTTGCTTTAACAGATGATGAACTGGAAAGGATAGGGAGATGTTTTCCAAATTTGCTCGAAATTTCGTTAAATGCTTGTTGGCGGCTGACTGCCAACGGTATTGTAAACCTTATGGACAACTTATCTAGCCTGAAAACATTGAAGTTAAAGATAAATTCGGGTCTCAGTCTGAGTGATCCGCGGAGTGGACAGGCCATTCAAAGGGGATATGACATCACCAGATGTGTTATAGACGACGACAGATTCGGACTCGTGCAGGTCTTATGTCTTCACTTTGTACCAATTAAGATGGAGGAACTGTGGGACTTGGTCAAGAAACTGGAATGTCTTACGAAGCTAAGCATCAGTAACTGTGAGGTAGGTAGGACATATGTTTGGTTGCTCTTACCACTCTACAGATAGCTGTTAACACTCTACCAATAGCTACAACCACTCTATAAATAGCTGTTACCACACTACCAATAGCTAATTCCACTCTACAAATAGCTACTCTACAAATACATGGTTTGATTTGGTTTGGTTTAGTATTGTTTGATGTCCTATCAACAGCTATGGTCATTTAAGGACGGCTACCATATAATTGCTCTTGGAATTAATATCTCCAACGACTTTATCACTACTTTATCACAAAGGTATACGTATCTGAATATCTTCACAAATAACTGCTCTGCAAAACTGTTATATATTCGAAAGAACTGTACAAATAACTCCACACATATGTTTTGCGTTTGTAATCACTCTACAATTAAATAGTCTTTTCATTTTTAGGCATATGAATAAAAAAGAACCATCAATCAAAAATATCAAATGTTATTTAAATTGGTATCTGTAAAGAGTTATCGAATGCCAAACTTATTATAACAGTACACTTAAAAACTTGGGTGATAGACAGCAGTAACATCTTGTGCGCGACACGTGGCCACTAACTCGATTACAACAACATTGCAAGCTGTCTCAGTATCCCTGTGTTCTCATATAGCCAACCTACAAACGAATATCTGATTGCTTACCAAACATCGATCTTAATGATGATAATGTCAATTCGAGTCCCCAATTAATGACAAATTATATCAATAACAACAGATGCTGCTTCTACAGATTAAAAAAAACGGTTCTTTCTTTTCTCAAGTGCATCTAGTGTTTGTTTTTGATTTTTGATTAGAAGAGGATAAATCTTCACTATTAGAAACTATTGAAATACGTAAACGTAATCGAATAAGTTTTAGATTGGCCCATAATTAAACTACTAGTATCAAATACATTTTTTCATTATTTAAGTATGCGTCAAGGTAATCGACACGCTGGAACAATTCCGTGAAGCTATTACTGAATTCCTCGTGTAACTGTATAGCTGATCATGCCTGGATTACGTGTGTGTATTTAAGTAAAATTATACGTATCGTGACATTTCTTCCGTGTATAGTAGACACAGGGATATTGCCTTCTTTTATGCACGTTCATTGTCTGCCAGCTGTCATATGAAATCTATAGAAATAGTCCCGTTACACTGCGTCAGAAGTTAGCTGTCAGTCATTTTCCTTACTCACATACCGCGTTTATGCATTTATAATGTTACCTGAATTTACCAATATAGCTAGTTCTTAACTTTGTAATACTATGCTGAAGTTGGATAGGTGTTCTTAAGTATTATATCTCTCTTTTTTTTATTATCTTTTTCACTAGGTCTGTTAGTTCAAAGATATAACACTCGTGTATACCGGTAGAGGTGTAGCCATCTGTTACGATTGTGCGGTATATCACCATCTGTTTGTACGGCTGTATGCAGCACACATACCATTTCATTTGGTTGACATGTTTTGCGTACCATTCTTTTCGGAGATACTCATTAAAGGCCATAACGATTTTTATAAGGAATTATTTTAATGCAGATACGTACTTTATTATTGATTATTTGTTATGTTTGCAGCATTTATATTTAAATTAGAATGATAAATATGATACCAGCGCAATGTCGTTTAAAAGTTTTTAAAAAAAGATTGAGAAAAGTCGGCCCGAAAGGTTAAGAATTTTGTCTAGGATGATATTTGACGAGTTAAAGGCAAATGTACCTCAGCCTGAGATGTGAAGATTTCTCCGTCGCATACTGTGAGTAACGATTACTTGTTTTGGCCATTACTTTAAATAAAGTGGCCTTCGTCTAGACGGGTACTTTGTCCTGCTTATATGGGACGTCACAGCACGCTCTAATCCCATCCAACATCGAGACAGATACATCTCACACGGCGTTAGATATGAGATTATTCTGTAACATATGTGAGTAATAGAGCTTTCCACTCCCTTGGTGGTGAGATAGGGTGATCTAAATAATTGAAGATTCTGAAGCCAAAAACGTAACTTTAACGTTATCTGATGTACATGACAGCGAAAACAGGAAAAGAGAAAACTAATTATTCATTCTTTGGGTGTCAGATGGGGAACGTAACCATCGGAGAAAGATACTTAGGTTGCAAAACTCGGCAATCCTCGTGTTTGGCAACTAAAGAATCTTTATCTTTTAGTTAAGATAACTCATTACTTTAACTCACCTGTGGGTGAGATAGGAAGAGATCAAACAATGAGGGACGATTCTTAAGTTGCCAAGCACAAGGCACACTGTTGACGTTGTTAAATTGACGTGACGTCATACACTTTTAGCGACTTGAGGATCCCCTTGTCGCAATATTAGGATGAGACAAGGATGTATCTCATCGGGAATAGTGTTGATATACCTGTCCAGAGTAAGATAACTCCCTATCTCACCCATTTCCTACCATGTTGGTCTTTTCATAAATACAACTTTGACGCAACAGGACCAATACACTGTTATTGTCACGTTTATGCATTGCTTAAGTGACGTATTAAAATTGTTAAATCCTTGGACTCCCTTCGTATCAAACGAAAGGATTTCCCACTCATAACAACTGTATGGACGAAACATCAACAGTGCAAAAACGACAATTTCCCTTTTTTTGAGTAGAGATAGGGGATCTTATAAACAGTGGTAAGATTCTTAAGCTATAAAACATTCGAAACGCTTTGTGATCATTTACCTCTTTGAGTGAAAGATTTCATAAATGTATATCAGCTGTATTTTTTTTAACTAGAATTACATACCCCTTTCAGCTGTATTACTAGATTACTTACCTATGTCAGTTGTATCACTATAATATCATACTTTCTGGAATATCGTAACTATAGCAACTGTATCACAAGCATGTACTTTCGATATCAGCTGTATCCACTAAAAGATGGCTTTTATCAACTTTTGTGTTTGTTCGGAATATGAAAATGACATTTTAAAAATGAAATAGATGCATCGGACATTATCATTGGTTCTAAAACTATTCATGAAAATGTGCAACCACCATTCGCGAAAGTGATATAGACGACATTAACATATGTGTTCTTTTTTGTTGAATTCAACTAAGTTTAGTACTCAAAGTTATTCTATTGAATAATGTAGATTATCAAACATTTTTTTGTAGCAACTTCATGGTGTCCGATTGGTTTCCAATTCGCTACAAAAGTGCTATCTGTTCAACCTCTGGAATGCCCTGTTTGTATGTATAAGATCTTCGACCTTAAAACTCCTAACGATAGACCATGGGATGGAGGCAATGGAGCATGTCGAGGTGGAGGCGGCCTCACTGCGACGAGTTACCATAGACGGTTGTAACGTTATGCGCACTCTCCGCGTGTCCAGCAAGCGGCTAACGTTCATAGAATTGTCAAAGTGTGAAAATATTGACATGAGGACATTCCATGAAACCCTTAGGAATAACGTGTCTCTTCTGTCTCTTCGACTTGGTTGCATATCGCAAGACAGTCTGACCTTCGACGAGACCATGATCCCAAGCTTACAGGAACTGTGTCTTCTGGGGGACTTTTCTTGTGAGACTTTACACATTAGAAGTCCCACTCTTAGATTACTACACACAGAATCTGATAATGACATCGTTACACTGAATCACATGTACATCACGGCCAATCACTTGTGTAAGGTTGCCCTCACGGGAATGCCCGCCCTCAAGACGCTCACCATCCAGTGTGTGAGTGTAGACTGTATAGAAATGAACCTCTGTAGTGATGATCGGCTCAACCTTGAGTCATGTGTTATCCACGCTCTGAACGCCATTGGATTCCTTCGGTTATTTGACTGCAAGGTGAATCTTCTGTCTGTGTGTACCCCTTTGGCAAGGACAATAGTTCTTTATAGGTGTCAAATGACAGATTACGTCCTGCAGATGGCGCTGAATGGATGTCTGAATATAGCTTATCTGAATCTCGAGAAGTGTCGCGAGATCAGCAAAGTGTCTGTTCATTCTCCTCTGATGAAGTTTTTGAATCTGTTTGGATGTGTAGACGTACACAAGCTTGATTTGGAATACTGCCCACAGCTTCTGGCCTTGAATGTAGGGCAATGTACAAATGTAAGACTATTTATTCGTGGAATAGAGCAAAAGCTTGATTCTCTTTGTCGAACATATGACATAGTTCACCCCCAGGAAGTACTTAGGTGGAGTCATGATTTTCCTCCAAAACCTTATGTCTGCGACATACCATAGAGTCGTGTTAAGTGACAAAGAAAGGATGTTAAACCAGGTTGATGCCGGGAGGGTCTTGTTTTATGACATATAATAGATGTTTTAGGTACTGGTCTGTTTGAAAATCTGCAACAACGCACAAAATGTACATTAACCAGAGTAGCGTGTGTTAGTTATATGTCGCTTTTGGTTATCATTATGTTGTACTCCTAGTAAATGAAGTCTTCTTTTAGATGTTTTATTTGATACAAGATGCAATACATTTAATTCCATGTTAACAACAGTAATTATGTATAATTGTAATAGGTGACCTTTGTGTTTTGTACTTCCATTGTGTAGAAGAAGTGTTTATATTGAATGGGCTTGCTGGTTTTGATTTGGAACTGTAACCGTACGGTGTTTTAAACCATTTGTTTGTTGTTTTCTTTGCAATGTCGTATATTTTTTAAATTGATCCAAATAATGATTTTCATAAAATTGCGTCCACGCTATCGTGACAATGCTTAGAATCAGTTCAAGCTCTGCAACTAATGCCCGGTGAACTTTTAGGTAAGATAAGAAATGACATATGAAGGTTATTGAAATACTGAATTGCAACAATGTTTGCAAAACTGTTAATAAATATTGATTTGAATGATAAATATATTTGTTTTATTGATTTTCATATGACATGAATAGAATTAAGAACCCAGTAATATCATTGCTGCGGAACTACATGCGTTTTACGAATGATTGATGATATGATACCAGGCCCCGGAATTAAAAACAAAATTTAATTTTAGCGTTGAAATTATTGTATTTTTCCTTTTATTTACTCCATAATCCGTAACGAAACGAAAGACTGGGGAATAGCGATAAAATGGTGCACGACTTTTAAATATCTGTACAAAAAAATAAACAATGATATAAGTGTAATGAGCAATTTATATAAGTTCTATGCTGATGTGAATCTTATGTGGATTATAATGTTTCATCTATATTTTGTTAATACCTTTGGTTACATTAATATGTTTGCATATTGTTATTACAGTTCATTTGATATGATGCGTCAATAAGTGGCCAATTAATTAACACAAATCAGGTCCACATTCATGAAACAGTTATCATTATCAAATTATTTATTCAAGCTCAAATCTTAGCTCAAAGGAAAACAATCAAATTTAAAATAGTCTTTATAAGAATATAACCATCTCCGTGTTTGGTGTTTACCTTTTTATATGTCGCACTTTATAACTATGTGTTGCAACAAAGTTTCATCACGTGACTTTAACTTGAGTATGTTAATGGTTTTATGAATACGGACTCCAAGTGTGGGACACTGTCTATAAATTAAGTGTTTAAATATATTTAGTTCGTATCATCAATTGTAGTGTCTTGATTTTCCTGGTATATCATACCACCTGTTTTCTCAATGTTTATAGTAAAATAGATATTTTGTTTCAGTCACAAGAATCTCTGGCAAGATCAAATAACAAACTTACAATTTATTTATAAGTTCAAAGACATAATACATATATTAACAATATCACAGAAGGCAACACGTGCAACGCATTTTGTAAATCCTAGACAAACTTTAATGTAGTGACTCAATGTAATAGAACTCAGACTCTCTTGAATAACATGATTTGGAGCTTCATACCAATAACCAGTAAAATAACATTTAGAAATAATATTTTGTTCATGGGTAATAAGTTACAAAAGAATTTCTTTTTCATAATATGAACTGATATGGAAAATTTTGTATTCCGGTTGTTTAAGTGTGCCAGATATCCTAAATTCTTATTTTTCTTCTCTCTCTCTCGTAATTCTCTTGAAAGTAAGTTAGGCCATATAGTAGTAGCTTTAAGAATTATTATTGTTTATTTACAACAACATGTCATATGCAGAAGAACAATTTTCTAGGCTTATGTTATATGCATCTATTGATGTTGACCTGAATCATATTTATGCTCCTCTGGGTATGCTAGAGTTACATGCCGAATATTCACAATGAATTGTAAAACAATTTATTTTATTTCTCATTAATTAAAATGAAAAAGTCATGTTGTCTGTTGACGTTTATTTGAGGGAAATATAGAAAAATAAGTTCCAAATAATACAGCATTATGTAAAGCTATTGTAATGTGACTTCATTATTTTGTCATCGACATCGTATTCCTCGCCACTATTCCCATGTGTTAAAGTTTTCGGGAAACAAAGTGAGGATCAATGCGGGAAAATCATGAGTTATAGTTGGATTAAATACAATATACATATATATATATATAACAAAAATATTGAAATGATACAATAGAAGCAATATTACACACGCAAACCTTCAGCTGACATCAATTAAATGTAATGCTATCTGGCAAAACGTCGGATTAAGGCCGTTTTGGTGTCGCTTATATATTGCACAGATGTTTATCAATAATGCAATGATGTTTGACGTTATTTTTTTTACCGGAGTTAAAGTTTTCTGTGAAATCATTTACCTACATGAGCACCTAGTCGTGAAAATCAAGATATTTGACTTACGTATATACGTCATTAGTGTCCGTGTGGCAACGCTCACACTTGTTGTTGGGTATACCATCTACGTCAGTACAGCAGCTGGTCCTCCTGTTATCCCGAAACGTCTGGAACATATGTTCATGTGTCATAACTGTGAGGTCATACGTTCATTCATAAATAACGATTGACGTGCGATAAACTTCAGCTGCCGGATCTCAAACACATCTAGGTGGTGACAGCTGTTCCGTGTGGAGGCACTCAGGCAGGTACAGGTGACGTTTTAAATTGCGTTGCCCTTCTTCACAGACCTCCGTTGTCTTTCGGCACTCCCAACCTTAGTTTTGGAGGACTGTGCAGTAATTCCTTTTATAAGGTTGAATTCTCCCAAACTGCTTGAATCATCAAGAAAAGGACGAAACCTTACACTTGTGTACTTGTATCGCGTATTGCTAACTTTATTAGGTAACAATAAGCGAAGCTGTGAGTAACTAAATAAACAACCTTATGGTAACCACCATTGGTTAATCGCCAATAACACTAAGATTCTTTGCAAAATGAAATGAATAGAATTGTTATCAATAGGACGTCAAACAAATAAACTTATACTTCCAAGACAAAAACATATATCAAAATGGGAAATATCAACTAGCTCGCTATGGAGGCTGCGATTATGAGAAAATATTAATTAATAGCTAATTAACAGCTCATAAACTCTATTTTTGTAAAACCTTAATGGAATTTAACAAAATATACAATTGAAAAAAGATTTTTAAAACCATCTTTTGTTAAAGAACATGAAACAAATTCGGAAGATTTAAATAAGTACAAGTTATTTTAATCTATTTTAGGGTTAACAAATAGTGCAAATATGAACTAAAATACATATATAATATATAAAATATGTATAACTTCTTTAAATTTGAAATTGATAGTTATAAATATATGACCGTAGATATCAGATATCTAAACAATACTGTTTATTTTGAAAAATATTACTGAAATGATGCTAACTGTATTTTTACATTTCAACAGCCGATGCACTGTGCACGTTATTGTTGCTGTTAATTCTTTAACATCAGTTGGTAACTTACAAATCTACACTTACCTGTAATCTGCACGGTAAGCTGATAACTGTCTTACAGAACGTAAGATTTTGTGAAATGGTAAGCTATTCTGACTGTCTTTTCATATATCAAATGAATATTCTTAATATTGCCCCTATCTTTATATTTGAATGTGCACAAACGGAAATAACAATAAAAATACTTCTTTCAATAAGTTGTCTGAATACCAAATGTTGCTGACGATAGATATTGAACTATCATACAACTGATTTTGAAATATTTTTGGATTTACTTAATGCTAATAGGGGAGATATTCATATCAGGTTAAGTCGTAAGTATTGCATGTATTAGAAATATCATCAATTGACTTTTAAATTGAAAATGTTAATTTGTTAATGCATAAGACAATCAGAGATAGGGTTACAAAATTAATACGTCAGCTATTTTTCGAATGAATAAAAAAGGACGGGTAAAGGAATTTATAAATGATTGAAAGAACGAATTGAAAATATATATTACTAATTTAAGGGTTTAATTTAGGTCCCAACCTGGTTCTTATCTATTTTTTTTACCATTATATCTGTTAGTAAATAAAACATTTAAAACAGAAAATAGAGACAAAGGATTTATATTACCGGTATTTGTCTACTTTGATGATCGAATAGCAACAATGTAATGTTAAAACAAATTATAGGTATGCAGATTCGGAGAAATTTTTCGATCAAATTCGATTTTTTTTTTTTGTAAATGTAGTCCATGAATATTTTAGATTTCGTTGAGGTGAAATTGTCGTTATATGGACATAAGCAATTGATTTTGACTGAAGTCGAGGTCAATATCACTCTCTCAGGTCTATGTAATCCCATATGCACCGAAATAAAAGTCTTCTATTGCTAAATCAGATTCTAAATAATGTTTTATCATTATGAAGATGGAACGTATGAAAATTGTTCGGAGGAAAGTATTGCATTTGGCGGATAGCATTATAAAGTAACAATTGATATGACGTCATAAAATGGATATTGACCTCCTATTTCTAAAAATTGTAAGACAGAATATTACGAATTACCAACCTCCACGTGATTATAATCCAACCAATGAGGTAACAGGAGAAAAATACATACATGAAATACAATCTTGAAAATACTATGTTTTTCATTTTTCTTGTTGAACATAAACTTATCACTCTCGATTTGAAGTTATAAAATTGTTTACATATTACAATAGGTAAATTCTATTGTGAGCAATTTATCCTTTATCACCATCATTAAAACTATGTTTTAAGTAGTACTGCACAATATTTTCGCAAGAATAGTCGACCACTCATCCAATTTACATTACTGTTTACATTGGATAAATATAATTCCTTTTGCAATAATTAAATTTTGTATTCAATTATGTTTCAGACCTCTATAGGCATGCTTCCATTCTTTTGATAAGTAGTATCACCGACTCCTTAATGGGCGCGTTGGCCATTTTGTGAAGCAAATCTTTACTTTGCCTGGCTTTTTTAGCACAGACTTAATCTATTTTCAGATAGATTCTCTCTTACTTCATATTCTAGTGATTACATTGTCACTTACCCGCGTATGGTTCACTTGTGATAACCTAAAAGTCACCGACTGCCTTGGTTTTTTCTTTGGAAATTTCATTTTTGATCGGCCGAAAGATGATAAAGTTAAAGATATATTTTGCCAAAAGTGAATGAATAGCAAGTAACTTAACAATTTTTTTTTGGACTTTTAAATGAAATTATTCATTGGTCACTTCTCAAAGTAAAGAAATAAAGTATTTTCGACAATACAGTGATATACAGAAAACAAATGAACAGTTAATCAAATATATGTAGGGATCAAATAATTGACAAAATAAAGCAATGGTAAACTATTTCTTTGGTTGTGTAAATGTATATAAATCGTCTTTTTTGACAATATATTATCATACCATTTAACACAATTTGTCTTTGCACAACAGTTGAAAAATACCGTTCTTATCACATCATCTGTCTCATAGACGTAATGCGACACTCCTCTACTGGAAGTATTTTAACTCTGTAAAACTACATGTTATAATCAATTTCATCGAAATTCTATTTGTCAAATCAAATATGTATTCTTAGTCCAAAAATAATGGCAACTTAATAGTTTTTTCAATCATATCATTTTCCAATATCATTTCATTATCTGACAATATTTCCGTTCTAATATGTACTTTGTGATGGTATATTTATACTGAGCTAAGGATAAGGCAACCTCATGTGTATCTTTATGTATAGGATACTGCGTCTTCTTTATTTAACAACAAATTAAGTCCATTGGCCGATATTTCTAATTTTTGAAACGAATCTGATACAACATATTAGTAACAAATCCCCTATGAATATTTCCAGTTATCGACATGAACCTATTTTGTATTTATGGGGGAAAAACCATCAAATTCCTCATCTCATTCCTTAGAAAACGCGTTGTTTACCACTCCATTTGTTTGAGCAGCTGGTTCGTTTACTTGACTCTCACCGATATGTAGGTCATTTTCGGAATGAAAGCCCTTTCCCCGACATGTTTCACAAGTTTGGTCTGTCGATTTACGTCCCTGTACAAAATAAAGAAGTTTTCGCCAAAGAGGGACTAACGATCCAACATTACCTTCGGGACCCATCAATGCCAACATAGTTGTAAAGAGACCAAGTGAATAAATTAGAGAGAATCCAATTGTACAAAACATGAATATTCCAAATTGAACAAAAAATAATATTTCTGCGAACAACATGAATATAGACGCTCCAAGTGTTGACGCTGCTCCGGAAGATATCGACACAGCTACGGATTCCAGCATGTCACGAACCTTGCTCTTCCGGTCTGCGTGTATGGACATATGGTATCCTTCCGCCAGGTGGACGACGTAGTCGACAGACAGCCCCACTACTAACGACAGGTTCAAAGACTCAAGGACCTGAAAACAATTTAGCATATCACCAGGTACATTACTATTCTCACTTAATATAACTTGATGTATCAACAAAAACATGCCATCATCAAACAAATTGTTTGTTCATTCTTTACTAAAGAGTTTGTAATTTGAAATTCGATGGGATTAAAATATAAAGCAACTGGAACATTGTATACATTTACATATTTCTAATTTCACTGTCTGATATATATTTCATATATTGGGCCACTTGTCTGATAAAAAGATGAGAAGGATTTATATAAGTACACGGTACTTGTCTCCTTATCATGTTTACTTAGGTTTATGTTTAAGAACTCACCTGATGTAATTAAATATGATATGAATTAATGCAGCTGAAATCTAGAAAAACTTATTCTTTATACTAGTAAACATTTCAATGTTAATGTTTTGAACTCACAGAGAAATGTTAAAATATTTTACATAAGCGAAGTCTCTGGTGTGAATGAAGAAAGTACATTATTTTTACACAAGTGATATTTTGAACCAATCGTTTTACACAAGCTGTACGTACCCCCAGTTTCCAGCCTACCATTGGTATGATAGCGATAATGGTGACGGTGACACACGCTATACTGAGAGTAGCTAGGAATCCGATGACAACGTTCTGTGTGGCTATAGTAAGTACCACGAAGCCAAGGCATATCCCAATAGCGATCCCACGAAGCGCCGAGTCCACCAATGTCTACAGTATACATACATTTTTATAGCAATATATTACTTCAGTCCCTGTAAAACACTTTATCTTGATTGACTTGAAATACATCACTTGATACGAAGCGATACATATGTGTCCCTCAGAAATCTTTTATCTTGTCATAAATCGTTATATAACACTCTCAGATGCCATTCTGAATTTCGTATTTGTTAAAACTTAGACCGTCCATTTTTAATTGTCTTATTGATCTTGAAAAATAAGGTATAGATTTGTTTAATATAGCAGTTATTTGCCCTCCACGGTGTACATGAAATTATCCCACTTTAAAGTGGCAATATAATTGTTGTGAATCAAATCCTGTCTTGAGCACTATTTCCTGTCTCAGACAATATCTTAGGTAATATTATTTGAAATATTTTACGACAAGAATATAGTGTCTTTCGTTATAGTTTTAAAGTGTAACGGTAGTCAGCCAACACAATCCTACCTTTTGAACTTTGAGCCAGTGCCATGGGTTGTTCCCCTCTGGTGTACACTGAAAACCTCCAGACAAAGACGGAGGCAGTTTTGCAATCTATAAATGACATGTGTAGGTAGATTGAAACCACCGATCATCTTCGAGTATATCATGATAATGGACTGATAATCAAAACTATGTGTCCTTTGTTAATCTATACATAAACTTCTTCATATTCTACGTAATTTTACATATTTAATTAAAGACAATTATGCATAATATGAGTGCGCGAAACAAGTATTTATGTCGTAGATGAATAATGTAACAGAAAGATAAAGAATGGTTAGGCTTTAATGCTGCTTTCCGTACATATATCGTCAACACTCTGTGGGTTGATCAACGTCACTGGGGTAAACCATATTCTGGATTTAGTTCACCGCATGTTACTTTACAATATTGATGCAGTTACTTTTCAAGGAGATCAATTTTGTTACAAAAAAAAAAAAATTGTTACACATTAGTTATATCATTATTTCCTATTTCTAACATTCCAATTTGAAAGCATATTTGAGTATATTTTTGTTTTATATTCAGGTGGCCATTTCTTTACATAAGAAACAGTCAATTTCATTTTCATTAGTGTTGTCAGATAGATTCAAGATTGACAAAATATTAGCAACAAATGCTGAAAAAGGTATCTGTGATAATTTCAAATATCATTTTTGTTCCATGTGCAAAATGTTTAAATGGTGATCGGATAAGGATGAATAGGGATGCTCAATGTGTATCATTTGGATTACTTAAATAGTACAAAACATAATATGATGATAAGAATAAAAAATGGTTGAAATAAAAGATTGTTGCATAGTTTACAGTGACATTAAACAATATTTCAATGGATTTTTGTATATGATACAAACCTTTGCTTTGAAGAATCGTTCCCAGGCATCATATATAGGGATGCCCATCTCGTACCCTAGTTTTCCTATGACAAGAGAGGTATTTGCTTTGATGGCGATATACCTCAATCTTGTTCCATACGATTCCCCTACAACACAACCACATGTACCTGTACTATAAGGTATGCCACATATTTTTGATTCGGGAGATTCCATTTATAACGTATGTCATTGCTCTGAGACGTACTATTATCACATGTAACTCTGCTACATAATTTAAGAAACGTTATGTTTTTTCTCGATGACGATTCTTTTAGAAGAGATATACAAGGTTGTTTTTTTTTACATTTGATTGTACTATAATTTATGACTTATCAAATTTGGACAATAACCATTAAAGTTTTATTTATAACTTATTTGCTTTGAGTTACAACTTATAAATTAATAGATAAAATATCTGTAACTTTTCTACGTTAAAGTTCTAATTTATTTACTTTGAGTAATAACTTATCTACAGTATGTTTAAACAATTTTAAAAATATATTCAAGCATTCCGCTTTTACCTTTTTAAATATATCAAAGGGTGGTGAGTTACATTTTATTCCGAATGTATTCCCGTTATACTTCTTCCATCTGACTTTTTAAATGTAAAATACTAGTCGGCCAATACAAAGTTGAAATTGTTTAACCGGGTCCTCTAATACATCACCGCCTAAATGACCAAAAGGGGAAAAAAATCAATGCTTACATTTGAGTAATACTCAACAAATTTACGTGTATTATGATGGATTATATATCGAGGGTGAGAAAAGGTTGAAAAAAATAAATAAGCGAAGGCCTCTTGTGGAACGAGTTAATTATTTTCCCAACATTTTCGAATCCCGAGTTGTATATTCCACAACGATATACAAATAGATATTGATTATAATTATTCTACCAAATAGAAAGTAATGAATGCATTTTTCGCGTCTACCTCAGTGTCCATATGCCTATGATAATTTTATCAATTCAGTCCCTTTTGGTCGACAGACGCTAAACATTAAACACTAACGTCGTGCTTTATGCTAAATTTTAATTTCAATTCATAAATCCACCAAACTATCGACAATGCTCGTCAACACATGAAATCAGCATTTGGCAGATTTACAAACACCGTTTCAAGCCACCTTCACAGTAATTTAGCAGAACATTTTGACCGTGAGGTTGACAGATTTTCATTAGATCAAATATATTTTTTGTTTGTCCTCTAGCAAATCTTCAAATACAAAATAAAATGCCGGTATCCTCGTAAGACAAAGAAAACCAGCCCCACGACTCGCTTGTTTTTTTGGGGGAGGTTTTTGACGACCGTTTGTTGAAAAATAGTACACGCATGCGCATGATCTATCGTCTAATTATCCATGGTTATTAACCAATGAAAAGTTTAGTTCCATCGCAAACTTGGTAGAATTTCAAAATAATCTACATTTAAAAACGTAAATGTTACGGCACTATAAATGATGACGATCACGACGACGACGACGATGATCATGATGTGCACAAAAGAAGCTTACACATTTCTGGGGACGCATTAAAGAATGATACATTTAAATGTAATGCATCATTAGTCACCTAAATATTGTCACGACTGAGACTTGAAGTCAGTTTCTGAGCACCCCGGTAAATTATATAATGATGATAACCATTAAAGCTAGGGGCGGGGGCATGCATGTTGTACTACATAGTATGGTCACATGACATACATAACAATACTTATTTTTCTGTGCAAAATTTTCAAAATAAATATGAAAATTTGACCTATATTATCACTAAGTTGACAAAGCTTCATACACTTAAGCCTGAATGTCATCCTACGCATTGACAACGGACGTTGACTTCTTTCCGTAATTAACGCATCCGTATACATCATTAATACGAATTTTGTTGAACTCTGTATAGCTTCCTTATTAATAACTGACGTACGAAACATACTTAAGCATTGAACTGTTACCAGATGCAGTATACAGTCGATATGAATACAATTTAGGTGACAGATAAATAGAATGTCGGCCGTAAAATGGTTTAAACACAAACTTAACTTTATTATTTATTTCATATGAGTGTGTATATGTTGAAAAAATATTAATAATTGCATAACTTCTGCTTGTTTAAAATTAAAGCTGTTTTCGCGCACTGATAGATTACATGTATTTGGAAGTGATGCGGCGCTGAACGGACTTGATTGTTTCCTTGGAAACGCTTACTGTTTCCATCGACTGGAATATTACGTTATTTAGAAGCATATATACTCGGAAATTTTTAATTTAAGTGGTCCTTTCAGTAGGTGATAACAATTCCAAGGACATTTCGTTTGAAACAGATTCCATGTCTAATCGGTCAGATTAGCATCGCTAGCAGACGACGTTCACAGGGGCTCGGTTTCGTGATTTTGAGTAATGAATGACTGGATCACTGAAGAACCACAACACTTAAAAAGATATTTATACACATTCTAAAACCTTGCCGATACCCTCGACTTTTACAAGGTTTTATAAATGCTGAATTTTAGTGTTGTGGTTATTCACTGATGTTATGCATAACTCAAAATCTCGAAACCGAGCCCCTGTGTGATGAAATTGACAAACTTGGTAATTTCGTATCTAGAATGGCGCTTACAATACTTTTGTGGTACCTACACATCTTATAATAAATTTATATTGTCATAATTTGTCAAGTTGCTTTATTTTTTGCGATGACCTAGATACCGAAAGTATTTTGTGGCCATGTATGTTCCGACACTGAGCGAACCACTGTAAAATGCAGTGTACAGTCTCATATACTGGAATTGTATTTACTAACGACATATAGGCAAATGCAACACAGAATTTAAATATATCATTAAATGCGCTTCTCGGTGGATATATGGATTTTTATAATGCTCCTTTCTACAAATATTCCTGTTACCAAGGCACATCAATTGATTTATTTAGTCTGCAATGCTACATGTTCGGTTGCATTGATTAAGGATCAGGTAGGGATAATAAGGTTTTACTCAGGTAGAGGTAAACATTGTGTTAATATACACATACAAGGACACTGCTAAACCTGGTCGTCCTTCATTACATTATTGGTTTTTTCCTGTCAGCTTCATTAGTTACCTTTCCTCAATGTCATCATTGAATTCCTTACCCATTGAAAAAACCCCGAAAATCTAATATCATTTAATTATTTTGTAAAACAACACCCTGAAGACACATTTAATTATTGAGGAAAACTGCCTGTATCATTGTGTACATTTAATTGATGAAAACGCACTAATGGGTTATCAAAGTCTACCCCTCTGTATTGTTTAGCATGCTCACTTGTGTATATCATTGTTTTCTGCTGGGACTTCTTTGGTGCGTCAACCATTTTTTTCCAATTTGATATCCTCTATGGATTGGTTTGTCTCTGTAGCATGTGCTATTCCGTAATGTGTTCTTTCCTCTGATATCAATTTGATAAAACGTCGTTTTGCATGCACCTGTTACTGTTTATGGCTAAAAGAGGGAATTTCACAGCGTTCCTTTTTGAACAGTCAGATTATCCAAAATTCGCACTAAAATAACGGCTGATACTAAGAGGCAGACGAATATACTATCGAAGTGTTTGAGATATATCATTGAACACCACAGATATCTTATTTCTGAATGTCACCACTAACCATTGTATTCAACACATAACACCAACAGTGCAAACAGCTAGTGGGATTTCTTCTGGCTCTGATAAATAAGTATGGCATCCTGAACGTTATTTTATTAGTATACCTACATAGTTCAGTTGTGTTGTTAACCGCTGTCTTTGTTTATCAATTATTAGTTAAAATTAATTTGATTATTTCAAAGTCAAGCTTTCCAGCGTTTTCGATATGTATATATTTCATGATTGATCTTTTAGAAATGGTATGAAATAGAAATGTTATGTTATTCAGCCTCGAGATATATTCGTTTTCTGTGCGCCACAAACTTCGTATTGACCTCAGCAACGAGTAATTATCGTACGGAATTCTAATCTACATTACGGAATACTCTCGAGTCCCACCACCTATAATGTTGAAAATTCCCATCTGTATTGTTGAGTGCGGTCACATGTATTGACGAACACGCTCATCATCATCGTTGAGTACGCTAACCAGTATTGTTGAGTGCGCTTACATGTTTTGTGGAGTACACTCACCAGCGTTGTTGAGTAAATTTAATGTATCATACTGGTCCTTGGTAAACCCTAGGAGTTGACTATAGTCGGAGCTAACATTGGACGTGTAGCCGCCATTCAGCCAAAAAGCAGCAGCCGTCTTTAAAATAAAATAAAATAGTATTTAGTATTTAAGCCGTTTGTAACAGAGGTCATTATTTTTTCAATGCCTCCGCTAGGGCTCGTACCCTGGACCTCTGGCTGACAAGGTTAATGCTTTACCGAATGAGCTAATGCCGAGGGAGACGGTGGTAAACAGATAGTTTATTATCAGGATGACATAAACTACATGTAAAGACGTTAGAAACAAAACTGCATAAAGTTATAAATATATTTAAGCTGTGAAATCCAAGTTACCTCAAAATATCGGTATACATTAGAAGAGATGGCAGATCCGTTGTACAACTCCGGGTGTGACGTCATTAGGTGTGATACTTTGGTCCCGGTTAGCGGAATGCTGAAATCCGCCGATACCCCGTATACAGCTTTGGCACTCTCGTTCTGTGGACATGAAATGTTACATCTATCAGACAATATTAACGATCTAGTTTTATCACATGTTGTAGCTGTTGACAAATCAAAGTGACATTTTATTTACTAAATTTTCATCTTTTAAAAGGTTTGCCGACTAATGTTTTATGCTCAACTTGGCTGACTTTTTGTTATAAATCGACATAAGAAACCCTGTTGAACTTTTTCGGTCCCCTGAGCCTTAACAATGTGAAGCTTAGATAGGTGAAGGATTATTTGTATGTTAAAGATGAATCTGCATTAGTTTTAGAATTTATTCATACAAGATGTCATGAAGCTTACATTCCGACCGAAGGTCCAAAATATTGTTATTTTGAGTCAAATTATGATCAAACATAAACATCATATTCCAGATAAGGGTCTGTGTATCCATGTGGTGACACGATTTTCAGAAGTTGATATGACCTGTGTTACATATAACAATAGCCCCTACACATCTTAAAATACACGTGGTCACGCGTTAAATCTGAGATTCTTGTACATACATACCACAAGAAACGTCTCCATATTGTCTAGGAAACAGTCCACCTCCAGTTTACCTGTCAGAGAGTTTTTACGTATATGGAGATCAGCATTGGCATTGTCGGGTAGGTTCTGCAAGTCATGGCACAGTGTCTGATAAATACAACAGGTGATAAAATAGATGAAATGTTGAAATTGATAAAAAAAATCACATACACAAATATAAAACATGGCCATAATTAATGTTAAAAGTTGGACAACATCTATTACAATATAAAAAGGAGATTTTTTTCAAAACATTAATGCATGCCGTATCACAATTACCAACGCGTATATATCTTAATGTTATACGCGATGATTTGTAATTACTATAAAAAAAACCCCGTTAAATTCATTGATTTTTTTTACATTTAAACTATTTAAAAAAAGAGGCGATTCTAACACTAAGCACCTGTATTAAGTATGGTAGCGTGTTACAGTAAAAACTAATTCACTGCTCAAGTGAATTAGTGAAGATGTAAGCGCCATTATCGATCTTGATATCCACTAATTCCCTAGCTTTAGCAACCAGAACCGACTTCTTACTGTTTAATCAATACCGTTAATGTCGCTCGCGTAACCTGACAGACCATCGCCAATAATTTGAGCATAGCCACCAACAATTATACATCGGTACGCGCATCAATACCTTAATCTGCTACTGTGGGTACAGTATGATGCGATAATAGGAATTTATTTAAGAGAGTCGATTTTTCTCTCGGGAATTATTGTGTGAGAACTAAAACATTTTTCCACGACATATATATCCATGTTCGTAATAGGTTGCATTTTGATACGTTATTGATGATTTGGTCAACCATAGCTTTGATGTTATTATGACGTGTACCTACATCATCTATTGTTCCATTATTACGTATGTAAGGCGGCTGTTGAATTACGCCATCATCGGCTGTGAGGAAACCAATAGTGGTTATGGAAGAAAGTAATATTACCAATGGGCAAACATGGACGGGTAAAGAAAGGTTTAATTATTCTACCAAGCTGTAATTTTGAAAAAGACTTAGCAAGCAAGTTCAGTGATTACTTTCTGAATAAAATCGGCGCAATCAGGAAATATTGCCGAATTTAACTCTTCTGCTTATATTGATATCTCTGTCATGACTGCTGACATTGAATTTGATGAGGAACCATTGGCAAAGTTCTCACCAACAACCCAGGACGAGTTGCGCAACATCATCATAACCTTGCAATCGAAGTCCTGTGAACTTGTTCCACTGCCTACAGACCTATTAAAGCAATGTCTCGAAGCACTGCTTCCTTTGATTACCTCAATCATGAACAAATCATTGGCTGAGTCAAAGGTTCCATTGTGTTTCAAGAAGGCACATGTGAGACCATTGGTAAAGAAGCATGGAATGGACAAGGAGGAGTTTAAGAACTAACGCCCAATTTCAAGTTTGCCTTTTCTGTCTAAGATCTTGGAGAAGGTTGTGTCCCGGCGTTTAGAGGCTCATCTTCATGCAAACAGTCTCCATGACAACATGCAATCGGCCTACCGCATGGGACACTCTACTGAGACGGCCCTCCTACGTGTACATAATGATATAGCTTCTGCAATGGATAACAACTGCAGAGCTGTGCTTGTCATGATGGACTTGTCAGCTGCATTTGACGTCATACTTTATAAACGTCTGGAATACTCTTATGGAGTGACTGATACCGCACTATGTTTGATACAGTCTTATCTGAGTGAACGACGGCAGTGTGTTGCCATCGGATCTTCCACCTCACATGACAAAGTACTAGATTTCGGGGTTCCTCATGGGTCGGTGTTAGGACCACGAAAACATTGCCTGTACTCCAAACCGATTGGAGAGATTTGTCGTCGCCATAGCCTTCGCTATTATTTTTATGCCGATGACACACAAAATTACATGTTCATCAAACCACAGGACAGTTGGAATACAGTTTCAGAAAGTCTGGAAGGTTGTCTGACAGATATCAGTATCTGGATGAACGCCAACATTCTAAAGCTTAATCAGGAAAAAACGGAACTAATCGTCTTTTCCCCAAAGTGTCAGCAAACAATGGCTCTCCAGCTCAAGGTCGGTGCCAGAACTATTGAGCCTGTCCTAGGTGTTAAAAACCTAGGGGTATACTTTGATAGTTCTCTGAAAATGGAGAAACAAGTGAACGCTATTGCCAAATCCGGTTACTACAAGATCAGGAATATCGGCTGTATTTAGCAGTCTATAATTGCAGGTGCATGCAAGATTTGGTGCATTCATTTGTTACCTCTCGTTTGTTTTATGGTAACGCCCTGCTCTGTGGGATATCGGACAAACTAACTAGTCGTCTGCAGAGGGTCGTCCAGAACACTGCAGCACGACTGGTTACTCGTACTCGAAAGAGAGAGCACATCACACCTGTGCTATATTCGTTGCACTGGTTACATGTACGATACAGGCCGCAATACAAAATTCTGGTGTACACATACAAGGCACTGAATGGAACAGCTCCTCAGTACCTACAGGAGATTGCTACACTGTATCAGCCGTCACGATCACTGCGGGCGGAGTCAGAATCTTTGTTGTGTGTCCCAAATTCTCGTACTGTAACCTATGGAATCAGGTGCTATCGGAGGGTTTTGGCCACGTTGTGGAATAGCTTACCATCTGCTATTAGAGAGTCAAATACCCTGGCCAAGTCCAAGAGGGACATCAAAACTTACCTCTTCACGTCTGCATTTTAGAATCCTTGCAAATACGTCATGTAAATACCACCCTTTATTTGTTCAATTATGTGCACATTGCTTGCTTAAATGTATAAAAGTGATTGTAAGCCTTTGTTTTTTGTTTCACAATAATAACTATTACTATTTTCACTATGTTTTAAAGCGCTTTAGAGTAATTTACTGTTATATATTATTATTATTAAATGGTTATAAAATAGCATCAATACCTGCAGGAGGAATAAGGTATATAAGGAGTGAGGGGTAAAGTATCAAATACATTAGGCGGACTTGATAGAAAAGGGGTGTGAGATCAAGTTATCTGTAAGCAGACTTAAGTTAGTAAAGGGTTTGAGGTATAGTATCATTATATGTAAGTGGACTTGAGTTGTTAAAGGGTTTGAGGTATAGTATCAGTATATGTAGGTGGACTTAAGTTGGCAAAGGGCGTGAGGTATAGTATCATTATATGTAGGTGGACTTGAGTTTGAAAGGGATGTGTGCTGTAGTGGGTTGTCCTAGACAAGTGTCGTTTTGTAAAGTATTTTGATCTAACACTTGACCTGTCGTAGGTAGGTGTCTTTTTGTTACGTATTTTTACCTGTAACTGGACTTGGGCTGGACTAGGGTTGAGGTCGAACGCTTCGTCCCACACAGTTTTCCCTGTACACTTTTCCCCGTCGGTTTTGTGACAGGCACTGCGGTCCTGTAGACGAAGGCCCCACACCATGTACACACGAATTATCGGGTCTCGACCACTCGGTCTGAAAGCATTTTTCTGTCGATCGTTAGCCATCTGGTAGTTATGATCCTCTTTGAATATCTTTGTCTGAATGATGAAATGTAATTCTATTTCAGGCGCTGTTCAATTACAAGAATGTCAATGATAATCTAAATGACAATGAAAGGTAAAGCTATATTCTAAATGAAGTGGCGGTACATCCCGTTCTAGCAGTATTATAGTTTGACTAACTGCAGTACATTTGATCATTTATTTAAAGTGTGGAAACTTACTGATGTTAATATGTGCTTTTTATAATTTCAAATTTAAAGTAAACGAGCAACAAATGAGTCCAATTCAAATTAAGCAGGAAAGAAACAGTAAATTCCTTTGTAACACGACAAATTTTTTTTAGATGTATAAGCATGATAAAGATGGACTTACCGATTCTTCGTCTGGTTTTAAATCTTTCATGAACACGATGAAAACCCCAATTAAGGCAAGAAATGCTGCAATTATCACCCAACGGATGATTTGATGTGTTACAAATCGGAAATAATATCCGTAAAAGAATCTCACGACAATATTTTTCCTTTCTGTCTGATTTTCACTGACATCTGTCATAGTGCGGGAAGGCACTGTATGAGAACGTTGTGTGCATGGCCTGCAGCATGGCCAGGTCCACTGCTCGAAATAAAGGTGGTATATTAAAACCACAGAAGGAAAAAACGTTATCACAGACAGATAATTAATAAAAACTAGTGTGGCACTGAAAAGTCCGAATGAAGATATTCCCAAAACGGGTGAAAATGCATTTGAAATGAATGCTACCATGGTTGTCAAAGACGTGATCAACATAGATTTTGATGCCCGTCTGTAACACTTGGAAAGTCTTTGTTCAAGTGACTCCATTTGATCATGAGATGTAGCGCGCCAGGTATCAAAATATACAAAAACGTCATCTGCACCAATGCCAAGAATTATAAATATTGACAGCACATGAAAAATACCAAAATATTTGTAATCAAAGACTATTCGATAAATCATGTTGGCCCCAAAGAAACTTGTGAGAATGCTAAAAATAGCAAAAAATGTGACAAATAAAGAATGGGTTTGAAACAGCATAAACATGAAGATGAATCCAAAACTGCCCACTGCAAGCATCATATCAAATATGACTTGTCCTTGAACGTCATAAACAAATAGTGTTTCGCAGGAATACAGGAAGTGCATTGAACCAAGCCCATTTTTATTTAAGTCAAGAAGTTTTTGTCTATAATTATTTACCATGAAGTTCTCAAGCTCTGTATAATAGTTAAAGTAGAAAGCAGTGCGCGTAATCGATGATTTGGCCACCCCATCAGCTGCGCTAACAATGGAATTTTTTCCAAGAAAAAAATTTAATTGTTGTGAAACCTCAGGATGGTTCGTGGCATTTTCCAAAGTCTGTGGAATGTTACCGAAGGAAGAATCGTTGAAAAATGGTCCAAACGTCCCATCAAATAGACGGAGAATAGAAAATGGTTTCGGACAAGTGATACCGTCCTTCTTGAAACAAAACGTTGTATAGTCTGCGACATTGGTCAACTCGTCCTCAAACGCTTGGATAGCCCGCAAATTGTCAGCCGTGAAAACGTTAGCGGACTCATAGTAGAGCGTTAGTGATTCAGACTCAACGTCATTGGTAGTCTGTGACGTAGGCAGTATTTCATTTGTCTCTCGGTTTTGCCATGCCAGGGCTCTCAGGAAAACATCCTCTTTTTCAAGATCTAAGGGCACCCCTTTGAAGTCGACCGGAAGTATGTCATACCCAGCCATCATCATCACTCCTGTGACCACTAACAGAGAAAGATGTACCAAAAGAAGAAACGCTGGAAGAAAACGAATTCGGTTAATGATATCATTTTGTCAGCATTTGTGATAATGATTAATTTACTGGAGTCCTTATTCCGTCTTTGCGTATTGCAGAGTTATCTTCTCTTGTGAACAGGTATTGATTGTTACGTCATTGGTTTGTGTGAGAAAATTACGTCGTTTTCTCAAAAATTGATGACGTTACTCTCACAAACAAATGACGTAACAATCAATACCTGCTCATAAGAGAAGATAACTTTGCAATACGCAAAGACGGATTATTTATAGTCTTTTTCTTTGATATAACATAAAACGCTTTCTTTTAACCGGAATATATTCCGCGGGAGGGTTACAATACAAGCATTCAATTCAAGCTCGGTGTGTGATGCACCAACGGCTCGCAGTTTTGGAACTCTCCTGTGTTTTTGTAGACTCGACGGCAACGGTAACTAGACATAGTGTCTACAAAATCACAAACACACGAAGTAACTTTATAATTTTGATTTAAACTTCAATCATTACAAAACCCAGTTCGTGTGCTGTGATCTAACTATCGGTATTTAGGCAGGCATATTACATGTTGGTCATATTACGTTATCGAACCCGTCCTGTGATTAGCCTACCATTATAACCCGATTATCGAGTGCAGTAAAAAATATTACGGCAAAATTGCCGTATATCGAATGTTATTATCAAAATTGAATTTACTATCGTATTTTCGGGTAATGTTTACACTCTGTTATCAAAGTAAACGTATGTAAATGAACACAAACACGTAGAAAAACACAAAATCCAGCCGTCCTGTCAGTCGGTGAATTAATCGTGCGCTGTAAACAACGTGACGTCATCGGAATATATACATTTCAACAATGTATCTTTTGCATGAATACTATAATGAGTTGTACAAGTCTGGTATCCTCGGTACTTCTCTTTATTACCGTAAATAGCAATGGAAACCCCGGGTTGATAACGACAATCACCTCAACAAAGTATTTTGAGTCAATTACACTTGAAACTGTAAATAAGCCTGTTAATCAAGTTCGACCGTAAAACCTCCCTGCGTCATTGTTTGACCTACCTAGAGAACAGCGGTGTTTCTCCGTCAACGCTCGATCAGAACGAGATACCGACATTTCGCGGAAAGGTTAATCATAAACATAAATTACAAAAGGAAGAAGTTATGATAATAACGACCATGTTTCCAACACTGTATGCGCGACAGATGTCAGGATGATACCTGTAGGTGGAAGAGCCAGTGTGATCACCCAGCACGATGCACAGTGTGGTACATGTACACGTGCATGTACAATTCTTTTGACTATTTCTCGCCATTTCTAACCCGTTTTTGCAATTGATTAGTGCAAACAATTTGAAAAGTGTTCCTCTAAATCTATTACAGAAGGTGTTAGTATGAGTTAAGGATGTACTCTTCTGAGGTTTCAGTCACGTTCAAGTCTCGTTTTGATCTGGTGTAATGGGTTTTTGTAATATTTAACAAATTATGATAGGTTTAATAGCAAACACACATCTGAAAAATATGTCAAAAAACTAGATGTCTGTTGCGTGTAGAACATTTTTTACAAGAATTTTAAAAAATAATGACCAATTTGGCGGCCATTTTGAAAAAGTATATTGATGTGAATTTCTTGCGCTTCGCAAAGGGCAAAATTTCACCTTTTTTGACACTAGATTGATCACTTAAAGTGTCATTGTGTCACCATTTTTAAATGTAGCGGGTTCAATTTTGCTGTACAACTTCATAATGTTCAATATGATTAAAACAATATAAAAAAAAGTGGAAAGTTATATATATTTGGTATTTATTTGTACATATTAGGGTAACTGAAGCACTTTTGATATTTGACACCGAAAAAGTTGAAAAATAACACAAATGATAATGGGACAAAAAAGGAAGCACACCGACCCCCCATTTTTGTGGCTGTTTTAGAAAGAGAAACACATTTTCTTTTGATTCATTGAATACTAAAAAAAGTTTAATACAGGAATTTTTTATATCAAGCGTTTAATCTGCAAAAAATGGTGAAAATTTTTGCATTTTTTCATTATATAATAAGGGGTAGGGGGTAACTAAAATCGCATTTCTGAGTAAAATGAATAAGATTAAGAAATTTAACTTCCATAATTTAAAAGAAAATAATATTTTTATCAATTCTACAAACATGCATACATATCTGATAACACACTTGGAAGAAATTATATGAATTTGTTCTGCAAATGGTCAAAACCCGAAAATTCACCTAAAATCACCTTTAGTGTTAAATTGGTATCTTTGACCAATAATAGCACAAAAACGAACACACGGACATATAAATTTTTTTGCATTTTCTACTATGCCATTATCTCCTTTTTCCAAAAATCAATATAAGAAAAAAAGTTTAATACAGGAATTTTTTGACTTCTCAGAGGTGTACATCCTTAAGTGCACTTACTAAGGAAAAAGAGATTGCGTGACCATGTGTTTCTCTATGCAACTGATTTACCTTTTCATTTTGTTTAGACAGGAATAGTATTAACTGTCATAATCTGTTGGAAATTTTTTTTTTGCCGTAAATGTTATTTTAATAGTTATACATCATCTTACTAGCATGGACCTAACATCAAAAAGAACAATCACAATAAATCGTCATTAACACACATCTCTCCAATTTATTTTTTCTATTATTTTTTGGTACGTGAAGTTTTAAACTTGACATAGAAAGAGACAGAAAACAACCATGAGGCACATCTCTTGTATATGCAAACGTTAACTCATCCAAAACTACTTGGAACAGTTAAATTCTGTAAAACGTATATGGTTATGCAAAAACGTATGTTCACGCAGAAGATCACAAAATATTAAAAACGTAAGATAAAAAACAGAGAGGTGAAAAAAGTGTCATAGGCATTTTGAAATGTTTACATTTGTAGACATCTGTTGAGTGGAACAAAGAGTGATCTGTGTAATAGAATCAGTTTGCCTGTGACAAAAGTGTCAATCGGCAATGTTGTGTTGAAGAAACGAGCTAAAAGCAAACTGAGGCTTGTCAAGTAATGCTGGTTAACTGTGCGTTTCTGCAACACATACCAAAATGTATCAACTCAAGTAATAGTTCGATTTTCAAATTTCATTACAGACTCACCAAAAACTGTTTTTGGCCTTCTCGTCATGAAATTACAAATCCACAGAGGGGGCGGATTTTCAGGCTTTGGCCGACATTTTTTGGCACTGTTTGCTTCATCATTCTGTATCTCCTGTAGAGCGTCCGACTTGGACTCGTGTTCTGGTGAGACTGTAGTCTTAACAGTATAACTGGACTTACGGTCTACCTTCTCCATAGCGATATCATCCATCTGAGAAAAAAAGTAGGACTAGACACGAACCGAACTTATTTACATGTTATACATATACTGAACCGTAAAAAAGAATGAAAAAAACAACGTTATATTAACACATGCAGTTTTAAGATATAATATAAACACGATATTGCTAATTATTATAAGCAAGAAACATTTAAAAAAAAAACTTTTTTGTTGACAATTGATTCGTCAAAATTATTGTCGTCTCATTTGCTACTTTTGACATAAACTAATTATTGATATGATCAGCGTAAACTGCAGGAACTTTTTCTATACCGACGGAATTAACTCCCCTGTTTCAGCCTTTTGCTTCTGATTACAGGTATTCTCTATCAGGGCTTTCTCACCACCGTTTCGTTGTTTTTTTCTCTTTTCTTTTCTCCTCTTTTTCTGCTGTTTTTAATCATATATTCTCATTTTCCTTCATAATCCTATGCATAAACCATATTTACAAACAATAGATAGTTACAACATATTTACAGTACAAAATTCACAGCATATTTACAATATTTTCGAGTATGGTATTAAATTGAGATGACCGTTTTTCGTGTAGGAAGTGTGTGTGGAGGTGCTCTGGAAGGTGTTGTAGCGTCCTTGTTTGAACTGAAAAAAGTAGTTAATACGTAGACAATTCACAATAATACATTAGCTAACGATATAATAAAAAAGTAAGTTACGTGATTCTATTTGGACAATATACTTACAGGGTAGTGTGTAATATACACTAGCCGCTTGCACGTCGCTGTCTATACATTCTTTGGCGATGTTGTTTCCTAATGCGCTCCTTGTTGTTTGATATGTTTTGTCGTTCCTTCCTGTACATGTCTGCTTGCTGTGGTATTTGTGTTGGTGGAGGAAGTTGGATGGAATGTATAAGTTTGTCCTGTTAGGTAATGAAGAGTGTGTCGTCAATGTCTAAGCTTGTCAGAGTCGTACATGAAGCTTAGATGACGTTACGATCGCCGAACGTGACGTCATTATCATCGATCGATATCAGAGCAACAAAACCTTTGTGTATCCGCTCTTAACTCAGGTACGCATGGCGCAGTGGTAGAACGTTAGTGTACTGGGTGTGTGAACACCACCTTTTACAACACCTTCCAGAGCACCAACACACACACTTCCTACACGAAAAACGAAAAAAATTAATACCACACTCGAAAATATTGTAAATATGTTTTTACTATTTATTGTGTGTAAATATGTTTTATGCATAAGATTATTAAGGAAAATGAAAAGATATGTTAAAAAAAGAGTAGAAAAAGAGGAGAAAAGAAAAGAGAAAAAACAACGAAACAGTGGTGAGAAAACCCTGGAGAGAATACCTGTACATCTATTGCTCACATTGTATTGTTCCAAGTATCTGAATTATTTATACACGACAGGTAATTATACATACATGGCTGGTGGAAGAAGAAGTAAGTGCGCACGTGTTGTACACTGTTGTCGTCATCCAATTACATACGGTCTAAAGGATGGTTCAACCTGACAAAATTACCTATACATGTCACAATATAATAATCCTACCTGTAAGAAGGGCCCTATATCTGTAAAAATGTCTTCATCTTTTCCGCGTTCCATATGCAACCCCTTCAGTATACAATTTCATACATATATGGCCCGTCTGACATCGTTATAACTTGCCGTCTCGATACCATTATGTAAAGTTACGAGAGCTTCCCATACTGTGAACAACGTATCGAGAGACTCTTACCATCAAGGGGATTCGAATTTAAAGAAACTAATAGACTTATATATTTCACTCAATTCACACACTCTAAGGGTTCAATTATACTATAGGTCATATTACGGACATACGTGTACTATATATGTTATACACTATTGTAGTATACGGTGCATATTTATAGAAATTATATAAACATACTTCCTTTAAGCGAGACTTCACAGAACTTTCAAAAATAAATTCCATTTCAGAAGTGTCTTCGTTAAAAGCTCTTACTTCACGATAAAGGTGTTTACTGTTCCCTGACATTACTATGGTAAACGCTTTTGAAACAAGAATAACAATATTTTCTTCTAGGTACGAACAACTAAACAGCTAAAAAACGTACTTTAAAACAGAAATATATTATTCAATTATAGTCTTTGGCTGGTGTCCATACCTGGATTTATCAATCAGAGAAAAAATAGATTAACCGAGGACGCAGAAGTGCATCACGTTTCCAGCGATAAAACCCGATATTGACTTGGAGACAGTATTTTTGCTAATGGACTAGGTGTTTCTAAAAATAGATTGATGACGTGTCTCTAAACGAGCGCACCGTCACGCTTCCGTAGCCTTTTTGTTTTTGTTTTATTTTCAGATTGCTTACATTACTGTTGAAAATAATAAAACAATTGTAGCCTTTAATTTCGGTTGACACCTGCGTTCTCGGTCAATATAACTTGTCTCGGGTTGATAAATCTAGGTATCGACCTCAGCCAAAGGCTATACTTGAATAATAAATTGCGACAGAATAACCACGATATCCCGTCGGCAAATTTCTTATATGCAAACGAAGCCCGGATGACATCGATGACCCCGACTAACCCTGACACGTCATAAAATTTGTTATTCATGACGCTGCGAACAATAGCGTGATCCCTAAAGGTCACTGTAATTCCGACTCATTTTGAATATTACTGACGTCACCAATCTACGGCACAGTGACCCAAATTTGAAGAAAACACTCAAAAATATCTGAAAACTGTCGTTTCTTTCGGTGGTTTTGGCTTATATGAATTAAAATGGATAAACTCATGATATACCGCCGCAAATTTTAAATTTCATTATGGTTAACCCCACCCCCACCCCCCGTTTCGTTGACTAGCACGGTATGCACTCTGTCACCTTCATCAGACAGATGACTAGTGAAGCGTATGTTCACAAAGGTGTAGGGTGAGGGTACCCAAAATGGAACGGTACCAGAAATGGAACACTTTAAATATATATGATACAGCATTTCTTATTTTGCAATAAAAATGAATGGTTTGTACTCAATCAAGATTTATATAGTTTTATGCATTTTTAGTAGATTTCATCTTCAATACTTCTTATGCATTGCTCATAAACTCAATTGAAATATTAAAAAAAATGAAATAAAAATAAATCACGGGAAACGGTATGTTGCGACAACAAGGTTACTTATCCTATTTCTAAACATGGAAAACTGTATACATATATTGGAATATTTTTTGGAAATAAAGATTTTTTTTTTTTTAATGCTGTTAGTTATTTTCATAAACTGGCTTAAATGATAACGTCTTCCATTTTAGGTACTCGACCAGCTTAAAATTCCAAGTGAATCTGACTCACTTTAATGAGCTCGGTAAATAGACACACGCGCTGATGATATCCAAGAAATAAATAAAATGAAGGCTTAAAGCATTATTGCTCCATTTCAGTAAAATAAAATGGTTTTTCAGAATCTTTATAGGAAATATTGATATTTTCTTTATAAAGTGTTCCATTTGGGGTACCCTTACCCTAAAACGTGTAAGAGTTTTCTACAAATCGATGTCAATCCAGCTACGCCGTAAGCGAATGTACAATTAGTTGTTATATATGCACAAAAATTACTTGATTCAGCTAAGCTTTGTTAAATGCTTGGTCATAGATGTGCGTGCGAGAGTCTATGAGTCCCTTTTCTCGATTTATAACAGATTGCTCTCTCTGTCCAATACTTTGGAGTGATCACAGTCAGTCACAAGCTGTTTTGTGTGGTCTGTGATTGCCGGAAGGTACTGGTCTATAGAAAAAAGACCCATACTGACCAATACCTGAACTTCAAATCTCACCATCCTTTGCACCAGAAGATATCTCTTTACATCGTATTCCTAATTATTATTTAACAACTCCGAGCCTTGAGAGATGTACGCTGAAGAAGACTATGGTCAACTTTATGGTCGCAATCATGATTTAAACGGGAAAGGTTCTATGTCTTTGCGTAAATTGAAGGCTTATGTTTTTATAATACACACGAATGTTCTTTGTGAGTTTTTTCTCTCTCTACGTTACATTACTACCATTTCTTTCAATTTACCTGGTCGGTGATGTAGGAGGAGACTCTTAATCATCCAGAATATCTTGTCACATTTTCCTTGTACTTTTTCAATGGTTTCCACGTCAATCTTTCATTTGCTCATGTGTTTCCCTAGTTTCATTGAAGTATTGTTCAAGAAGCGTGTAGCGTTCGTACTGTGGTATCCTTTCCTGTTTTCTAAAGATCTTTAATGTATCAATTGTTTGAATAGTTAGCTGTGAAGTAGCACGATTTCACTTGAATCTGAGTTATGACTACTTGAATATGTCAATGTATGTCCAATATATGACATGGTAGACCCTTTACACTGCTGTTGCGCAGATAAATGCAAAATTGGTCAGTTTGCGCCCATTGATAATATGTCTTTTTGATTTTTCAACTAACTCCTCATTAATTGTATGTTTTTTATTAACTCACCTGCCCGAAGGGTTAAAACGCTGCTTGTCCTGAACGGCTTAGTAGATTTTAACTAAATTTGGTCTGGAGCATCCTTGGGCCAAGGGCACTCAATTCAATTTTGTATAAACGGTAGGTGTGGCCCCCTGGGAGCAAAGAAGCGAGGCCAAATAGGGGAAATAGAGGTACCTTGGACCTTGGACCTTGGAAAGGTGGGGTCAAATAGGAGAAAAACGTTAAAAAAAAATCTACTACCATAGGGATTTCGGCTTTTCATCCCAATTTGGTCTGAAACATCCTTTTTGTTTAATCGTTGGGTGTGGCCCCCATAGGTGCAGAGGAGAGAGACCCATAGGGAATCTAGAGGTAAAATATTTGAAATCCTTCAGGGATTACGGGATTTTATCCCAATTTTGCCTCCATCAAGTTGTCTAGTAGCGCCTTTTACTATTAGGGTGTATTCATTAAAACAAAATGGCCACCGGATTTTGACATTTGAAGTTTGTTCTCGGAGTGTTTAATCTTTACCGCATATCAAGTACTTTAAACATATCCAAGTGAGCGATACATGCCCTCTAGGCCTCTTGTTCTATTACTCATATTTTAATAAGATGAAATTAACAACATCCATGCTCATTTTTGTACATGCCCTTGTATAAAAAAGGGACTATACCATGACTCAAATGAAATATATTCTAGTAGTCAAAAATTTTGAGACGGCACTATGACACATTACTATATATAGATATTTATATATCACGCGAATCATAAAATATTTCGGGATTAATCTATTTGCATATTTTGATAATCTGCGACACGGAATTTCCAAGAGTGTTATTGGGAATGCCACTTCCGCATCATATCGTGAACACTTTTGTGGAAAAAAAAATATCATACATTTTGATTGACAGTGTTCAATTTCTTAGGAAAACTGTTATCTTATATTATCAATGCACGTTGTCAAATCAAATATTTGTTTCCCTTTCAAAATCCATGTCAAACGTTTTCAGGAATATATGGTGGAATAAAGTAAAAGGGATTAAGAGTCCATCAGCAGAGTCTAGTCGCCTTGTTACGTAAACTAATACTTAGAAAACCCCACCTCTGTTATAATTTTAGATTGTTGGTTCAGGGAGCCAAAGCAAATACAGTTTTGCTGTTTTACATGGTTACATAATTTTAAGTTCAGTACAATAGAGATATTAGTTGTGATAACATTATGACCTGACTCCACCAACGACCATAATATTGTTTACTGTGTCGTATGATAGTAAAACCTGCATACGACCCTGGATTAGACCGGAGACACCGCTCCAGGTGACACAAGAGGTACATTTCTAGATTTTATTCAGGTGTATGATGCCTCTCTTTTTGTCTTGGCGTATAATTAGTTTTTGCTGTTTTTCATCGCCCTTTTTTGTCCCTGTTTGCTGACGTTATGGTTCATTACATTAACCAGATCGATTGTAAAGGCAAAAGAAATGATTAATTTCTGTCATATGTACTGTTGAGTACAAATATGTTATGGTAACCTTTTTAAAAGCGCATACTTCTTCAATTTTCAAATAGGTATTTTTTACTTTATATGTTTGGTCATTATTTAAAATATTTAACATAAACTTACCTTCTGATGTCCCGGTACCTCCGTATCTATCTTCTGTATGTACACGGTGATGGATTTAAGTCTTTTTATAGGTCCCTAGTCTCCAATAGACTAGCACCATGTTACGTTCATTGATTTACTATTACCAAAGAAAGAGGATAAAACCACGGCAACCATGTACTTTTGTTGAAGGTAGGATGCGATTATTGGCCTTTTCCGTCAGGTATACTTTGTTTTGTAGTATGTCTTTTCCGATATGAATACAGTGTTGTATGTTACGTCCTTCCTGTCAGGTATACTTTGTTTTGTAGTACGTCTTTTCCGATAGGAACACTTTGTTGTATGTTACGTCCTTCCCGATAGGAATACTGTGTTAAGTAGTACGCTTTTCCGATAGGAATACTGTGTTATATAATACGTCTTTTCCGATAGAAATACTGTGTTATATAGTACGTCTTTTCCGATAGGAATACTGTGTATTGTGGTACGTCTTTTCCTATCGGAATTCTGTGTTATGTAGTACGTCTTTTCCGATAGGAATACTGTGTATTGTAGTACGTCTTTTCTGTCCAAAGCACAAATCTATGTACCTGTTCGTTCACATGTACAAGGTTTAAACTACTTGCCTAGAATAAATAAATCAATAGAACACCCACCTATGGAATCTAAGCGTGCTATGTTGCTAGCATTTGCTGGTCATGCTGAGGTAAACTTGACAATGGTTGCCTGGTGTTATGGATTGATGCATACGAATATTTAATCAATGTGTATAGTATTTAATAAATATGCACAGTACCTTTCGATAATGTGCATAGAAACGTAGCTATTCAATACAGGTTTGTTTGTTTGAGAACAATATTCCCCAATGTTCTGTACAAACACTTCATTATACATGAAGGCAGTTATTGTTAACGTCATTATCCGATATTTGTGCCAGTTTTGGTTGAAGCCTATTAACTAGTGAAAATCTTGATAAACAAATCAAACGTAGGCGGTCAGATAAAAACAATGCACTCACACAAATAGTTGTAAAATCTCAAATATTCCCCCGCTCACGGATAAATTATCAGTAAATCACGTTAATCTAGCACACAGTTAATCCGATGTTTTAGGATACGGATAATCCTGTACGTCTAGAATCTGTATAGGCCCCACGAAAATATCTGATTCTGATTGCAAAGTAGTCAATTGTTGTGAATAAAACTAATTGTTATATTTCGAGTGCAATTCTATACTGCGTGTAAAGAACAACAGTTGATCTGCCTAGAATAGATCACATTCTGTATCCGATAACTAAATTAAATTAGATAAAGGTAAATTTCGTGTATCTATTTAAATGTTATGTTTATAATACAGACTGAGTGTAACAGTCAGTTCTGACACGGGCAATCTTGTGTGTCTAGAATAATAGACTCTTTCATGTACAGGGATGTCGGAAAGGGACATTCCACCCGATGAGTATTCACATTGAGTCAAACTCGAGGCTTTCAAGGAATAAGCCTCAATTTGGAAATAAGGAAGGATTTTAGAAAATTATTCAACAGCTACTCCAATGAAACAAGACAACAGTTACTCCAGTGTAGCTAAACATCAGTTACTCCAGTGTAACTATACAACAGTTACTCCAGTGTAACTAGACAACAGTTACTCCAGTGTAACTAGACAACAGTCAATCCAGTGTAACTAGACAACAGTTACTACAGTGTAACTAGACATAAGCTACTCCAGTGTAACTAGACAACAGTCACTCCAGTGTAACTAGAAAACAGATACTCCAGTGTAACTAGACAACAGTTACTCCAGTGTAACTAGACAACAGTTACTGCAGTGTAACTAGACATCAGTTACTACAGTGTAACTATACAACAGTTAATCCAGTGTAACTAGACAACATTTACTCCAGTGTAACTAGAAAATAGTTACTCCAGTGTAACTAGGAAATAGTTACTCAAGTGTAACTAGAAAACAGATACTCCAGTGTTACTAGAAATAAGGTACTTCGATGTAAATATCAAACAGTTACTCCAGTGTAACTAGACAACAGTTACTCCAGTGTAACTAGACAACAGTTACTGCAGTGTAACTAGAAAACAGTTACTCCAGTGTAACTAGAAAACAGCTACTCCAGTGTAACAAGACAACAGCTACTGCAGTGTAATTAACCAACAGTAACTGCAGTGTAACTAGACAATAGTTACTCCAGTGTAACTAGACAATAGTTACTCCAGTGTAACTAGGAACCGGTACTCCAGTGTAACAAGACAACAGTTATTTTGGTGTAGATAGCAAACAGTTACTCCAGTGTAACTAGAAAACAGATACTCCAGTGTAACTAGACAACAGTTACTCCATTGTAACTAGACAACAGTTACTGCAGTGTAATTAACCAACAGTAACTGCAGTGTATCTAGACAATAGTTACTCCAGTGTAACTAGAAAACAGATACTCCAGTGTAACAAGACAACAGTTATTTTTGTGTAGATAGCAAACAGTTACTCTAGTGTAACCAGACATCATTTACTTCGCTATAACATGCAAACAGTAACTGCAGTGTTACTAGACAATACCTACTTCGGTGTAACTAGCAAACAGATACGCCAGTGTAAGTAGTCAATACCTACTTCGATGTAACAAGCAAACAGTTTATCAAGTGTAACAAGCAAACAGTTACTCAAGTGTAACTATATAACAGCTTCTCCAGTGTAACTAGACAACATTTACTGCAATGGCACTAGACAAAAGTTACTGAAGTTTAGCTAGGAACATCTTCTGTGATGCAATTAGACAACAGTCACTTAATGAAGAATAGTTTTTTTTTTTATCTATCCAACAGTATTAAAAAATCCACTACTTGTGGCTAGTGACAATAATCGTTCTATGACATTATAAAATTTCAAGACAGTTACTTATACGTTTCATGAACGCTGATAATAAGGTATTTCTAGAATACATCTCATTCGAAATTTTAAACAAAGTTTTATGTTTAAGAATATAATTTTTTAGTTGCAAGTTGTCAGTACGCTTTCTTTGTATGATGTTGTGATGTTTAATGCTGCTTTTCATAATTATTGCTATAAGCGATCTCGTATTTTGGGATGCCGAATTCCTTTAATCTCTGACTATACAGAACACTACCGATATCCAGGTATTTCAGTTAAAGCTGATACTAAATAGTGAAGCCGCTCTTGATCTCGTGGCTGGTAGGTAGTGAAATCAATAAAGACTAGGATGATCACTGCTGACATGACATGTATATATAGTTCCATATACTGAACTCACGGCACGCGCCATTAAGGTTCCCCAAGTCCCCTTAAAAAGATGGAATCGGCATCCTATATTTTGAACCCCCACCTCCCGATAGGTCACCTGAAGTAAAGACACTAATGACACATCGGAATTCAAAAATGCAATTAGGATATAATAAACGTGTACTCGAGTTATTTAAATGATGTATATAGACGTTAACTTAATCAATTATATATACCACCAAGACTGATGGCTTATTGAAATATTTCACCAGCATTACAACACGTCAATCTCTTTTGCGACACAACTCATTGCTACGAAATTGCATGTTTTCTAAAGTTTATTTACATACCTAGGCCATGTGGAGCTTAATTTCTCTCTTTTTTCTATCTTCGGAACTGGTGTAACGACTTAAAATAAGGAAACGAGAAACATTATTAAGGAAAGAATATACAAGATTGATCAAAAGATCTTTCGAGTTATATAGGTTCTTGAAATCTGTATACATGTACCATTAATTCCACCACATCTTGAGCATATAGTCTAACAATACCTCACCAGCCCGATCTTATGGTACTCTAAGAGGGTTTCTAAGAGGTTTAGAGAGTGGCTTGATATACCAGCTATCAGAGCAAGCGATTTAAGTTTGTTTAAAGAGATTTTTGCTGTGGCATTTCAGAAACCAATACAAACGAGGCAAGGAACATCCTTACCATTACCCTTTATACGGGACATTTTAACACAAACATGATTATCTGGTTATTAAACAACAATAGTTACATGCACTTTTGGCCTTTTTAAAATGATTGACCTAATGGATTTAACCCTCTGTAGATTTAATCCTCTGTAGATTTAACCCTCTGCAAGAAAATCTAATTCAGCGTGCTCTCAATTTGCCTCATTGTTTGGCGTAGTCTTCAACAGTATTCAGCAGTATCTTTAAATTTATATCATTCGATAAGACCTCGGAGCCTTTCATTATGGATAATGTTTAGATCGCCTGTTGCTACGTGACATTATCAATATCTTGACGATTGTTTTGTTTATAATTGGAGGGAGGAACAGTTCTAGGACCTGGTAAACTCGGGCGTGTTAATCGTTTTCTTGACGTGGAAAAGCTTGGAAGTAAAGGGTTTTCAATAACGTTAAATTCCTTGGGTATTTTTGTATCTGAATAACGTTGGTATGTTGGCTTCGATGGACTATAAATAGTCTATCTAGTCCTATGATGTATAGGATAACACTTATGTTAGTTGTATCTATCGCCTTGTTGCCAAATTAAACTTCCTAATAATTCGAGCGTCGTGCCTATCTATACAAACAAGTTTAAAGAGTCGGATTTGTGCAACATCATCAACGATTTTATGAAGTCTCCGAACTAACTTAGCTTGCATCAAAATGCTTTAAAATCTTCCACAATGTTCTCCATGGAAGACATCTAGGTGAAGTGACTATCATAGGTCCCGCAAAAACCACCGTCACACAGTTCATCGTGAACTCTACTGGGGACAAAGATATTTTTGAAAAGACGGCTGACATTCAGTTTGATGGTATAACAAGGACACATCTAGCTCCATCAACCTACGATGTTATGCTTACGTAAGATCATCACAAAAATCGCAATTTAGTCCCTGGCACTGGATCCGCTTCCCACATGTCTGTTGAAGGCAAGTACTGCTCCCTTCGATGAACAAAAAGTTGATTGCGTTGAAGGTTGTTTTTTTCAAGGAATCTTGGAACACTGTTAAAGAGGCCTGGCATTGGTTTGAAAGTAGTTCTAGAACTACTGCCCAGAATAAAACGTAAGGTTCTTATCTAAAATCTTAGAGAAGCATGTGTCTCATGTTTTCAATGTGCACCTGCATGCAAACCGTCTGCATTTTATAACCTAGAAACAGCCTACCGTACGAGACACTCCACCCTGTCAATAATAGCATTGCTGTGACCCCGGATAACTAGTGCAGAGTGGTCGTTTTCGCGTTGGACATGTCCGCTACATTTGACGTCAGTTACCTGGGCCCGTATTCATTAAACAATTCTCATGATCAAGCATTGAATTTGTGCTCAATCCTAATTTCTTATTCCGTTTACAAATTAATAATTAAAACTAATTTCGTCAATACTTTATGGGAAAATAACTGAAGAAACTTAAAGCCAAACCCTGCTTGAAAGGTTTAAATCTGTCTTTTTGATCGTTTGACATGTTTTAAGTGAATGACAAGAAAGTTGTTATATTTTTCAACGTTAGATATTTTCAGGGGTTGCTTTGCAATGCAATCTGCAGGACTTAGTCTTATTTGAGTGAACGAAGACTGTGTCGACATAGAAACTACTATCTCCAATG